AAACACTAAAATCAATATTATTAGCATAGCTGCAGTAAAACTCATATTCCTCTTTCTCATCCTTATACACATCCTGCAACAAAAATTGTAAATACATGATAAATAGACAATTAAAACACAATAAATATAAAAAATATGCAATTAATATGAAGAAAATATGCAATCTATAAGGAGTAAATATGTAGTTAACATGTAGTAATCACGCATTAAACAAACAATCAATATGCATTAAATATGCCATAAATACACCATCAATATATAATCAACACATAGTAAACACACACTAAACAAATAGCCAAAACACAGTAAATTTGTAGTCAATGTGTAGTGAATACAATTTAATGCACAATCAACACATAGTAAACCTGCACTAAATAAACAATAAATGCATAATATACATAGTGGCTGGAATCTTTTTTTTTTTTTTTTTTTGGGAAAATTGGGGCACTAGGCCCATTTCATTCATGAAAAGAAAGAATACATAAGAAATCATAAATTGCTACCACAATTGACCAGTAGTAATCTGAAGAACGAAAACAACAAAGACAAAACTGCTTCAAAACAAAAGAAAAAACCTATTACATTTAATCACCCTATCAGCCTTTGCTGCATAATTATAAAAGCAAAATTTGATTTTCCAATTCAAGTGTACCAGATGACATGAATACCAAAAGTATATCCAGAATAAAACCTGTAGAAGGAAAACCAACCGGCAAAAAAGAGCTCCCAAGTATATCTAAACCTGGACTTAGATTAAACATATTAAGGCACACGAAAAACCTAAAATCCCTGGTTGCTCGTAGACCATCCAAGGGACCCAGAGCGGAAGCTTCATCATTGTCCAGGTAAGACTTCAAAAAATGCTTGCAGCGACTGGATGAGAGTAGGGACTTAACCAGCATATAAGCCGCATCTCTTGTTACAGAAGTTCCAAGTAATCCATAGAGTTCTTCCATTTTGCTATTCTCTCATAAATGTTCCTTTTAACATTAAGAATCAGGGTATTATGGCAATTAAAAATATGCCCAAATCTCCTACCATTCCTCTCCTTCCATAAGTGGTAAATAATGCAATAGATGAGGGTATAATAGAAGTTTTTAGCCTTCTTGTTTCCCTTGTAATTACCCTTAATCCATTCAAAAACCTACATAATGTTGGGCCTAAAAAGGAATGTTTTCATTCTAGGTATAATCGCTGTAAGAACATAAAAAGCATAATCACATTCGAAATAAATGTGAGATACAGTTTCATTTAATCCCTGACATAGATTGCAACCGACAGGAACCAAAATGTTACGAGAAATAAGTGCATCCGCAGTCTTAAGTCAGCCCACCAAAGACATCCAGGCATATACTGAATGTTTCATAATATTTCTGTTTTCCCTTACCGATTTGTGCCAAGAACAGGTTTGTAATTCAGAATAATACTCCTCAATGCAATTCTTGAATTTATATGAACTACTATTTTTCCATTTAAGGCAAGTCTCACCATCCTCAATGCTAAATCCAGCAAGCAGAGTTTTCAAATTCAGAGAAATGTTCTCAGGAAATACCCATTGAGATCCAGAAATTAGACTATTAATGGTGATATCAGGACAGCATCCCAAATACGCATCCCCCAGGAATTCAGCAATATTGTGATTGTGACACCAGTGATCCCATATCAAGGATATAGGAGCATTTTGAGATATGATGAAGTTAAAGCAGGTTTTTACCTCCATAGCAGTTTTACTTATAAATTTTAATAAATTAGAAGCAAAAATAGGGGGCGGCTTCCACGGGGACTTATAAATACAAAGGAGCCATTTGGATAGTGGAGATGCAACATTATACATCCTTAAAATCACAGAACAGTTATAAGCAAATTGAATAGCAGAGATAGAAGGAATCCCCAAACCACCTTTATTTTTAGGCCTGCATATCTTATCTCAGGACACCATATGTAATTTTTTAGCAATCAATGTATCCCCAAAAAACAAGAATCTAGAACTAGTGCGTTTAATAAACTTGTGATCTATTTTTGGTAAAATGGAGCCTCTAATCCAATACGCAATCGTGTTTTGGATAGTGAATTTCAGGTATTGGAGCCTGCCCGCAAAAGACAGTAAGTTGGCTTTCCAGCTGTTCATTTTTTTATTGACACAATCCATAAGAGGCAAATAGTCTTCAATCTTGAGCTTATAAAAGGATAAAGGGATACCAAGATACATGATTTTGTTAGCCACATTGTGAATTGATAGAGTTTGGCAAATATCCTGCTTGTTCCTTAGATTTTTAGGGAACATAATAGCACACTTATCATAGTTTACATGAAGCCCCGTGTTATCAGCAAATTCCCTCAAAATATTATTCAGCTTGTTGCAATTCTCAACTGTTTCCTCCCAAAAGATTAAAACGTCATCTGCATATAGAAGATGAGACAAGGATTGGTTGTCAAAAGAAATTCCTCTAAAACCCCTACACTCCAAGAGATTAGAGAAAGCATCCATCACTATACAGAAAAGGTAAGGGCTTAAAGGGCACCCCTGTCTAAGCCCTGCAGTAGAAGAGAAATAACCTTCTAGGGCACCATTTAGCAGAATAGAAAAATTGACATCGGTTATACAAACTTTTATCCAGTTAACGAAGAGAGAAGGAAAACCTTTTTGATGGAGCCTATTAAGTAAGAATTCCTGGCTAACCGAGTCAAATGCCTTCTTGAGGTCCAGTTTAGCACAAAAATAGTTGCAGGCACTTTTCTTAGCAGCATAAGATAATATATCATTAGCAAGCAGAATGTTATCAGTAGATATTCTCGATTTAAGAAAGCCAGCTTGATTGTCCAAAACAATCAAATTCATGATAGGTTTCATTCTTTCAGCTAAAACCTTAGCCATTATTTTGTAAAGAACATTGCAGAGAGCTATAGGTCTATAGTCAGAAATATCAGCTGCATTTTTATGCTTAGGTATGATAGCCAAAGCAATGGCTCTCACACCATTAGGCATATAAAATTTCTTAAAAAATGAGTAAACAGCCTTGCAAACCCAATGACCAATGATATTCCAAGTATATTTGTAAAAAAAGAAATTAAACCCATCTGGACCAAGTGCAGAGTTTGATTTACCTGAAAAAATAGCCTTTTTCACCTCTTCATCTAACACAGGAGAGATAATACCGATAGAAAGAGAGTGTGGTAGCAAAGTCCCAGTCGGAAAATCACTAAAATTGTGGTAAGGGGGTGCAGGCGGGTTGTACAGACCTTGATAAAACTGGATTAAAGAATTAACCACATCAGCTCTAGAGGAAGCCAAAGGATTAGCAAGTAAATTTCCCACAGAATTAGAACCACCTCTTCTAATTATAATCTTAGCAAATAAAAACTTTAAATCATCTTCCCCTTGCCTTAACCAGTTAACTTTTGCCCTTTGTATAATCCAGGATGCAAGAAAATTGTTGAACTTTGCTAATTCTAATGTGCTAACCTTGTAGGAATGATTAATTTCCAAGTTATTAGGTTCTCTCTGCAACCTATCTAAAATTTCAGCTTGCTTAGCATTCAAAACATCCAAATGCCTAGTTATGCAAGAAGAGGAAGACCAAGCCTAACACTTCACCCCAATCTTAATTTGTTTCAGATTATTGGTGAAATGAGAAATAGGGTTCCCAAGGCACGGTTTGGAAAAAACCTCCAATATAAGCATCTAGAATTTGTCAAAATTGGTCTAGAAGTTTTTGAATAGAAAACGATGATGAACTTGCACCTTCATACCACTATTCAGAATAATGGGGCAATGGTCCGAACAGGAGGGACTGTGAAATTTGCAAAAAGTGTCTGTGAAGGAGTTCACCCAAGCCTCATTCACTAAAACACGATCAAGCTTTATATGTATAGGATTGATAGTGCGCTAATTGAACCATGTATACTTAAAACCCACAAAGTTTAAATCTACCAATCTATTATGAAAAATCATATTATTGAAATCTGACAAAGCAGCATGATTTATGGTAGTACCTCCAGATTTTTTAAATGCAAACCTGCAGCAATTAAAATCCCCCATTACAGCCCAAGGGAAATCATTAGAATGAGCAAGGTGAGCCAAAATTTCCCATAGTTTCTTACGGTCTTGAGAATTGTTCGAAACATAGATAGCAAAAAGCTGGAACAAAGGTTTATTAGCAACCCAAATAATACCCGATATAACTTGATCCGAGATGTGAGAAGGTTTGAAACTTAGCTTTGATGAATCCCATTTAACCCAAATCCTACCCGAAGTGGATAGAGCAAAATTGTGGCAACTATTCTCATTCGAAAACAGAGAATGTGAGGCTTCAAAGAAAGGGTCTTGAAGAGTATTGGAATTGATCCTAGTTTCCAGGATGCAAATCAGATTCAAGTTGAAAGACTTGATTAGTCGCTTACAGGACAAAACTTTATCAGGGTGATTGAAACCCCTGATATTCCACGCCGCCATGGGTGGAAAGGACATTAATACTATAATTGTTGTTGATGTTTTTTGCCCTGCTTCCCCATTGCAGGCTTTTTTGACGCCACACTATATTGTGGATGCTTGCCCTTCTCCAAGGCCTTAGATTTCCCACTAATAGTGGAACCCAAATTCTCAACTGAGCACTGAGTATCCTCGTTTTGCTGAAATTGCTCTTCAATACTGTTAAGAGCATCAAATTTATTTGGCGATATTATGTCTTTGGGTTGATTGAAGTTTTGAGATGTAGATGATGAGGAGATAGTTTTATGTAGAGAGTTGAGGTTCGGGATGCCAAAAACAATAGCATCTTCAATAGGCGGCACATCTCCAATGGGATTGACATCAAACTGTGGATTGCTTTTTGCGGTTGGGGAGTGAGGTTGATATGTCATAGGTTGCCCTAAGACATTGGTAATGATGGTATTTGGCTGCCGGAGGTTGGATATTGTTGTGACAGGAGGAGGATGGACATTATTGCAGATAGGTTCTTGTTCTTTTGGTAAAGCATTTGGAGCAGGAGGTCTGGAAAAATTCATATTTTCGAGTTAGGCCTTTTATGTGGCTTTCGACTGAAACTCCTACCTCTTAAATTAGACGACTCCTTCGGGCGATCTTCTGAGTTAACTTTAGGAACAGTTGGACAAGATGATGAAAAATGCATAAACGATTTACAGTGATCGCAGGGGTTAGGACGCCATTCATATTGAACTCTTAAGGTGACCACATCACCATCAAGGGATACCTGAATTTCGTCCGGGTATGTAGCAAGATTGTCCACCAGCACACATATACAAGCGTAGGTTAGCTTTGTCATTTGCTCGGTCAGCTTGTCCGCTGTAACCGGTATCCCAATTTTACTCGCTATACGTGATATCCCCTCTGAATTCCAACATGCAAGCAGGAGGTCGTGCATTTTCACCCAGATCAGAACAGATGAAAATTCCTCCTTGATGGGTTTGAACTTTGGATGCCACTTTTGAAGCACAAATGGCTTGCCGAGCAGGAACCAGACACCTCTCGACCACGCCATGTCAAAGTCTTCTTGACAAGAGAACCGGAGAAGAAAAAAACCTTCATTTAGGGATAATAACTGCAGCGAGCCCTTTAGACTCCAGGTTTTGTTTATAGCCCCCAACAGTGCTTCATAGTAAGGTCTTCGACCAATCGAGTAGCCAACGAGGCAAAGGTTCCAGGCTTCGGCTCCCTAGCTCAACTTTTCACCCGAGAAAGGAATGATCTCTGGTTCCTCCGGGTGATGAGAAAATTGAAAAGCTTTGGGAGCAGAAAGATCAGGTGCAAAAACTTTGTTCCAGTTCCTCAGCAAAGGAAGAGATTTTCCATCAGACATCTTTCCAAGCGGAGGAAAGTCAGAGGAGGAAGGTGGTTCAGCCATGAGTAAAACAGAAAGTCCTCCGGGCTAGCCGGAGGAGGGGGAAGAAGAAGATCGGTCAGCAGTGGAGAGCGGCGCAGGGAGAAGGAAACCCTAACACGACTCTCGCTGTCTGTGGCTGGAATCTTATTGTGATGCCCTATAATCTAAATTAAAAAAATTATTTTTTTTATCTTTTAAAAAATAATAACCAAAGCTATTTAATATCATCTATCAGTTATAAACAACAAAACAAATTATATAATTCAAAATGTCAATATATGCATCTATATTTATTCACAAAAGTCATATATAATATTTAGGATTTATATAATCATCACATATCTATCTTGTTATGAGTATGAAAGAATAACTAAAAAAAGAAATAAAACCTGAGAAATCCTTAACAGTCTCACACTTTTATTTGCTTCCATGACCTGAAATCTTCTAACCACATATAATGAGCTAGAAAGCCCAATAGGTTACGAAAACCTATAACTAATTTTAAAGCATTATAAAAGAGTAAGATGCTTTTGAATAGTCAAATCATTGTAGTTACATTCATATGATCATTGAATTAGTGCATAAATAGTAAAACTCATATATATTAGCACTATAATCTATAAACAAAAAAAAAATCCAATTCAAAAGCTAATAAATCAATATGAGAGTCAAATTTATAAATTAATCATCATATCTGTAATAACAATTTATAAAAAAATCATATAAATCATCAAATTAAAACATTAATAAAGACTGTCAAAATTATGTCAAGAAATAAAATCATATAAGAGTGTACCCAAACTATCAAATTATTCTATATCACGTGCTCAGTATATCACATTTTCTGTATTAGTGTAGTGAATGAATAATATCAAATAATATCAGTATCTAAATCGATAATAATAATAATTCAGTGATATTAGTAGCAGAATAATAGAATAACAACAAATCCATGAAGTAATAATAAATACATACAATAATAATAACAATCAAGAACATTAATTTCAATAGTCATACTAAATAGGTAATAAGTCATGACTATCATAATGTTTTATAGTATTATATCTGCATCAGTAAACCGTTAGCTTAGTAAATAGAGTAGTCACTCTTTGCCCATCAATATAATAATCATATTCTTATAACTTCGAATGAGTTTCGATTGAATCAATAGGGGAAAACACCTAACCAAAGTATTTAATCGAAATCCCATTTTACAACCATCCTGTACACGGGAATTCATCTCCAACCTGTTACAGTCCATGACTCCCACTTTGAGATTTTGATGATGACAAATAATGTCGACTAAATTATTATGCATTGAATATGTTTGATTTATGCTCTTCTCTGTGAGTACTAACATTTCAAGGAGTTCATAAATTTCTTAGGACAACAAAAAGACTCAATTACTGTGTAGAGTAGGAAATTGAGTCTATAACCCTGTAATTTATCATTTATTCTTATTTTTCTTTTCTTGAGTCTGGCCATAAAGTGTATGCTAAAATGAGCACCCATGCACACACACACAAATGGAGAGGTTTTTAAATGATGGAATTTTTTTTCTGTCCATCGTACTGTACGAGTTTCAGTCGTACTATGCGATCCGCTCTAGCTCAACGACTATCTGTGCATAAATCATATTGTACGACACGTATTGTACTGTATGATGAGATTCTAATTAAAAAACCTTAGCCGCCAAATTAATTTAAGTAAGTTTTTAATTTGTAAATTTGAACTAATCGTACTATACGATCGGATTGTACTAAACAATCGGATCGTATAGTGCGAGTTTTTGAATACTTACTTAAATTAACCCTATGATTAGTAAATCAAATCAAGGATTAATTATTTATTTGTAATCATGCTGTACGATATGGTTTGTACTATACGAGATACCGAGGCTATTTTCGATCATCCAGAGCATCGTAATTGACGAAGTGAAGGTTTTATTATATTGTACTGTATAAAGTTGGTTATACCATATGATGTATAGAGACTGGTTTTCTTCATCCCAGCATTCGTCATGTACAAATAGAAGGAATTTAACATATCATGGTGGATGATTTTATATTGTACTGCATGATATTATTAAAAAAAATGCATGTTCATACTCCTTCGTACCAGAACAAAGGCTATTTTGAACTGATTGTATTGTATGATCTTAGATCGTACTATACGAATAAAAATGATTGTATTAAAAATTTAGGATTTCTTGGAGCCTAATTTAAATATCTAAATTTCTGTCTTTTTAAGAGATATGTGTGTGAGAGAGGAGCATGACTAGAGGCTGATTTCTTGATAGAGAGTTTTTTAGAAGATTTTTGTGGCTTGTGAGAGGAAGGAGAAAGTGGGCTTTATGAGAGAGAAGGAGTGTGAGGCAGATCTCACGGTTGCTCCTAGCTTGCTAAACGTTTCTTCTTCAATGGCTCAAGAAGCTATTGTGGGAAGATTTCTAAGGGGGAGATCCTTAAAGGTTCGTGCCTCTAAGGTACTCTGCCTTCTTCAGGTGGGAGAAAAATGAGAATGTTTGTTGTTGTCACTAGGAGGGTGATATAGCGTGTGGTACTTCGCCATGCCGGGAAGGGGAAAGTGAGGTTTATAAGGCTTCTCTGCCTTACTGTGGGGGAAAAAGGAGAATTACTATTTAGTAGTCATATTCCCGGAGTGGAGGACTCCAGGAAGTGTACGTAGGTCAAGTGATCAAACCACTATAAATTCTCTGGTGTGATTTTCCCTTACTGTACTTTATTTACGCTTTGCATTTCACTTTTGTTATAATTGCTTGGTGAAAATAATATTGCAATTATTTATTGAGTAAATTAAAATTTCACCATATATTATTGAAATCTTATTTTAAGTATTCGCTTCTGCATCAATTTATTTATTTTGTTTAAAATTTAAAAACATTAAAAAATTAGAACTCTTGTTTAAGATTGCCTTTTTATTACAACAAATTTCCAATTCACCCCCCTCTTGGCGCATCTTGTAATTTCAATTTGTATCAGAGCGGGGTTTCAAAAAAAGAATTTTACAAAACCTTAAAAAATTGACCATGGCTCATTTTGGTAATCGTAATACTACGGAGGGTTATTCTATAACACGTCCACCTATGTTTAAAAATATTCTATTTGATTTCTCAAAAATTAGAATGTCTACTTTTTTACAGTCTATAGTATATCGTATGTGGATGTAGGTTCAAGAAGGATATGCTGCATCGTTTAAACTTGTGAATAGCATTATAACGCAAGTACTTTTTAATGAATGGAGCAATGATGATAGGGATCTATCTCAATTAAATGCAAAATGCTTCAACTGTTTCTTTTTGCATTAAAATATCTGAGGACTACATGAGAGTATCTACCTGTGATACTGGTAAGAAGATTTGGGATAGACTGTGTATCACGTACGAAGGAAACTAGTGAGGTTAAACAGTCTAGACTTAACATTCCATTACATGAATATAAACATTTTAGAATAAAACCTAGCGAAACTATATATGACATGTACACTAGGTTCACCCAAATTGTGACATCCTTGCATGCATTAGGTAGAGAAATTTCTAATTCTGTAAAGGTTAATAAGATTCTTAGATGCTTGCCTAGTTCCAATGATGCTAAAATTAATGCAATAACTGAATGCAAAATTTTTATATTTATTCTATTGACAATTTTCTTGGGTCATTCATTGCGTATGAGCAAGGAGTGAGTCAAAGGCAAAATGATGCGGTAGAAAAGAAGGAGCGTACGATGGCATTGAAAGCAAATAACTGAGAAAGTGAAAGTTCTATAGCGGAGGAAGAAGATGACATAGCCTTGATGACCCGATTGTTCAAGAATTTTCTGAAAAGAAAACAAAGGCGTCATTAGAATTAAAAAAAAGGCGTCATCAGAATAATTGGAACAAAGGTAAAAGCTCAAGAACTACTAAAGTTTCATCTGACATGATTTATTTTGAGTGCAGGAAACCAGGTCACCTCTGAGCTGATTGATCCAACTTAAAGAGTTAACCAACTAAAGAAAAAGGCAAGAAGAAAGCAAAATATAAGAAAGCAAAAATGAAGACATAAAACATATTTTGGGCTGACTCTGCCTCAGAATCATCATAAGAAGAAGGAGAAGAGGAGGTAAAAAATTTGTGTCTAATAGATAATGATAATCTTGATCAATCGGATCCAGACGAGGTATGTTAACTTTCATATGAAGATTAGTTGGTTATCTCTGAGAAAACCCATGACTCACATAAAAAGTTAAAGAAAATGCATGCTCGTCTTAATATTATTTTTAGTATTTTATACATTGAGCATGCTAACTTAGTTAAAGAAAATTTTGATTTAGATAGAGATCACATGTCTCTGCTTGATAAGTTTGATGCATTAAATAAGAAGCATTTTGAATTAATTGATGCACACGAATCCTTAAAAATATTGCATATTGAATTAGAAATGAAGTCTAAGAGTGTAGATAAACTTGCATGGGAGTTAGATAGCAATGAACATCGTTTGAAACTTGAAAATACAAATCTTAAACATGCAAACAAATTTTTACAAGTAAAGATAAAGGCTTTAAATGAAAATTAAAAAAATCACCTTCACCTGAGGAATTCTACAATCCATCACAATAGCATTAATCATTCAAACCTAGGAAGAGGCATCACCACCCACA